AAAAATGGAAAGCTGCATGAAAACCTGCACGCAGGGGTTCATTGTCCACAGATCCATATCTAAGTGGAGAGGACTATAGCAGACTTCTGCAGGACCCAGCCTACGGCCACCACTATTCCATACTGGATGTTAATTCCTTGCATGACAGCTTTTAGCAAATAGGCTGCAAGAAGGCAGAATTTTATATCTCTGTGGATAGGCAGCTGCTCCTGGCTTCACCATCCAGCTGAGGAATATCTAGCTAGGGTGCAGGTTCTGGGGAATTTCTGGGGGCCACAAAAATGGGACTGCCTAAGCCTACAGACCAGCAAAACGATTTTCAAATATATGAAAGGTCACTATAAAGAAGAGAGAAATAATCTGTTCTGCCTACTTGTAGCTGATAGAAGAGGTCATGGATTGAAATTACAGTAAGGAAGGTTCAAACTGGACTTTAACATAAGGTCCATGGGGAAAGCTTTAATGACAGACCAGAGAAAGAGCTGTCAAGACTATTTTGAGAAGCTGCCTTCCTTGTCCTTCCCCATCCTGCAGCTCTGAACTAAAGAGCAAGGTTAAGCTATGATAAATGGTATCACCACCTCAGTGCTGTTAATGTGAATTTGAGAGGTGTACACATGAAAAATAATGTAATCTGGTTGCAGTATAGTACTCTAACATAGAATATGTATGTTCCAAAATGTATTTTTGAAACAATAATGAAAAATATCATGATAAGAAATTAAAGTGGATAAAACTAGGAGGCTGGAAAGTGATGAGAATGTTACCAATATGAAAAAACCTTTTTGGTACCTAAGTATTTGGATCCAGACAAACTATGTCTTAATTCTATTCTGTTTTGAAAGATTGACACTTTGATTTTTTAAACATTTTTCCAATGCTAGACGATCTTTCTGTTTTCCCAAATCATAACAGTGTCTCTTGAGAGGAGCTTTTACCTCACTCCTGAAAGTGATAAACTTTATGGTGTTCTTAAGAACAATGCTTTCTTTGGGGTGAAAATTAATCCTCCTCTGCTGCTGATCAGACTGGTGCATCACACAACTGCAAGGCAGTGCTGAAGCTGTTCTTACAGACACTGTGCTCAAACCTGGCCTCTGAAGGGCCAAGGTGAGAACAACTGGCTGAAGAGAATTCTCTGAAAGTATCAGAAGCAAAAAAGACTTTCTCACACCTTTTTGAAAAACAGCAGGGATAACCCAAGAGATAATTAGGGAATACCTGTAATCCATTCTTTCAAGAGGACAGCCTGAAGCTGGGGAGCTGCAGAGCCCATTCACACCACTGCTCTCAGAGACACAAAGTCTGGCCCTTTCCACATTTCATAAGAATATTTCAAGTGAGCCACACTGCGAGTGTGGGCTGGTTGGAGTGGAAACGGAGGTGGGAACATTCATCATCTCACCAGTGTTACAGTGTGGTAGCTGGGAAAGAAAAAGGGGAAACCAGACGTCCCTGAAAATCCTGCTGTGGCTGTATAACTGTGTGACATTATTAGAAAAATGCCTAAAATGAGTTATGGAACTAATTAAAGAAATATAAAAGCCATGGATAAAAAGTTCCTTGTTAAGTATAATTGATAGTACAAATCTAATTTGAAAGGTTAACAAGCTCTTGAAAATTGTTGAATCAAGTACAGACTGATGTTTTTAATATAATTATATGCAGCTAGCAGATGGTATAGTCCTTTTTATTATATTGCTGGCTATTAGATTTTCATTTTTAAAGGAAATAACTGAATTATACTAAAGATATGTATGGTTATTTTCAAAGATTTTTCCATTTTCTAATATCTGTATATACCGATTAAACACATAATATTTACCATTTATAAAAATCTGAAAGATAAGATTTAAACAAGAATTTGGAGTATTTCACTACCCTCATATAAAAAACTTTATTTCGGATTTTAATTAAAAGCTTGATTGCCTTAATGAATGACATAATTTTAGATATGTAAATATATTTTCAGACCAATTGAGGATTAGAAGTACTTTAGGGAAACAAAGCAGCAGAAAAAAACCCTACTCTTAATTCAATAATTCTAGTTCCAACAAGCCACTGAGCAATTAAATTTAATATGCCAGATGATACATGAGATCCACCAATTCAGAAAGATGAGGAGAGAGGTAATGACTTCATTCTTGCACCCTCCAGTCTGCCAGTCTGTTTCTGAGAGCTGCTTTATCCGTGTTCTGAAATTCTCTGAATTAAATGTCACTACCTACCTTAGTGTTTCTAAAACAAAATCTTCATATAAGACTCAGACTTCTGGCTCCCACTGTGCTACTTCTACACATTCTGCAGACTTCTTATACATCAAACCAAAATTTTGGAGAGTTCAGGATTCACAGGTGGAGTCTTAGAGTAACAAGATATTTTTCTCATTACGGTTGATGAGGTTGCAGGATCTGAGGGCAACAACAAGGAAGCCAGAGAGGGACTGTTCATCAGGAGCTGTAGTGACAGGAAAAGGGGGAATGGGTTTGAACCGAAAGAGGGGAAATTTAGGTTAGATATACAGAAGAAATTGTTCCCTGTGAGGGTGGGGAGGCCCTGGCACAGGTTGCCCAGAGAAGGTGTGGCTGCCCCTGGATCCCTGGAAGTGTCCAAGAGCAGGTTGGATGGGGCTTGGAGCAACCTGGGATAGAGGAAGGTGTCGCTGCCCATGGCAGTGGGTGGGACTGGCTGAGCTTTAAGGACCCTTCCAACCCAAACCATTCTGTGATTCTGTGATTTATTAAGAAGGAGAGTGCTCTAATTTATTCTTACAAGTATCAGACAAAATGGATTTAGTCCAAACTGAATTTGGAATTTACAGTAAAGAGTATTGATCATAGACTCATAAGATGGTTTGGGTTCAAAGTGACCTTAAATCTCACCTCATTTAGTTCCATCCCCTGCCATGGTCCTCTAGACCAGGTTGCTCAAGTCCTTACAAAGTTAGGAAGTAGGACAGGAATTACATCCTTTGTATTAGTGTTCATCTTATCTAAATGTAGCAATAAAAAAGCATCTACTTCTTAGGGCTCCTGAATAATTATGGGGATGAACTACCAGACACCTGCCATGGCCCTTCAGAGGAGCCTATTCACGAGAAATAGCAGAAGTTCAAATGGCTCCTGAAGACAATGCATTTAAAACAGTTAAATTAGATGGAGTAAGGAGGATACTATACTAACTTAAGAGCAGCCTCACTAAGTTAGAGCAATTGTGCCCATATTCCCCAAACTCATCAACATCAGTTGCCTTGGGAAAGGAACAGAAAGCAACAATCCCCAAATACCTTCCAGCTGTGCTTTCATTTCAAATTCTGCAGGCTAATGCTCATCACTAACAATAACCCAAAGCTCTGCTGGCATGGCATGTGAAGAACCCAGGGATGGCTGTCAGCAAGGCCATAAAAATAGATAGCCTGAGCTTGATGGCTCTGGAAATAATCACGCTGCACCACTGCTTTCAGCTGGTGTAGGAAATGAAGGATGGGAAAAGCTCCTTCATGAGCTAAGAGTAAATAACTGACCCAGACAAGTTCAGACATCCTGCAGTCTCAACTTAATGAATTCACTGGACCCTTGACTAGATTAAAATAAATAAAACATTACACTTTCTCACTTGCAACTCGCCTCAAAATAGTCACAAAAGAACTATCAGGTCACTTGAAGGAAACTAAAAGTCAGCTAAAACTTCATGGGTGTTAACCAACTGGCTACAATTGAAAAGCTGTAACATCAGTGGATTCAATTGTGCTATTTCCCACTCCTGTAGACACTGTCAAAGGATTGGATTAATGCCAGCCTTTCTGTCCTTCTTACAGTCTTTGTCACAACAATGAGGCATTGCAGTTTTATAGACTTGTATGTTCTCTCAAAGATAACAGTAAACAATATTCTTTTGACATTTTCAATGTTCTATAATTTTACTGAATGGTTCTTCTTATTCCTCCTTTTATATTCTCAAAACTGATGAAAAAATAAAATACAGAATTGTTAAGAGGTTAAAGTAGTGAGCCTGACTACTGTCTCTTACACAGCAGACAGGGCATAAAGATTTTTGTTTCACTTTAGATCGTTCTTGTCACAGCTTTCTTGTGAAGTAACATCACACTACACAACAAGCTCCCACAGGAACTGCAGATCATATCAAGCATCACCACTTCCCAACTTAAATAGTAGGTTCATTTGAGTCAATTCCATGCCCTTTAACAAATGCTCAGCAAGCCACACGTGCTTCTGTCTCTTTGTGTTCAGATATGTGTAGGTTGGGCTCAAGATAAATCCCAAATAAACTACTCTGCTACAAACACTCCTCCTCCTGCAGAGATGATGAAAGAGCCAATATGTGACAGATGTTTGTCACGCTGCTTACTACACCACTGGAAGGAATGTGAGCCTGCAGTAACAGGGGGAGCGTCGGGAACTACGCTGCAGAGCACTAGTGGTGTCCTAAAATGAACTGGAGATGAAATAACACAGTAAGTTCTCAGTGGGAAAAGCAAAATGTAGTGCAGTTATCCTCAGGTGCCAAATCCTTGAACAGACTCTCCAACCGACCTACCATGTGGTTCCTCTGTGATTTCAAACTGGAGGAAACATGGTCACAGGGAAAAGACGAGTGGGGCAAGGTAAAGTGCAGGCAGACTGAAGAAAAAGAACAGAGAGCACCACACCACTGACTGTAGAATCATTTCCTGGACTGCAAACACTTCACCTGCAGTTTCTTTTCTGTCTTGTGCAATATGCCTGCTTACACAGGGTTTGTGAACGGTGAAAGCACATTAGTGACCAGAGGAAAGGAAATTACATCACTAAAGTTTTACTGGTATTCAAATTAGATCTTTAAGTCAATCTTTGTTTTAATTTTTTCCCATAAATGTGAACATTTTAGGTGTTTTATGTCAGCTACAGCTCCACAGACTCGAATACAAGTCCACACTCTGAACATGTGAAGACATGAACCTTGGGAAGGAGTGGAGAAGATGTGAATGAGGAGAAAGTCACCTTTCAACACTGCAGAGTCTTGCTTTGGCTGGTTCCTTGTTTGGAAGTTGTCCTGACCTTTGATCACCTTCATCTGCCTCCTCATACCTTTGGGATATTCTCACTGGAACCTGGGGGATCCAGACCATGTCCTCTTCTTATTCACCTTACAGGAGCAATCTCTTGCAACCAGTGGCAGAGAGATATTTCTTTCTGCTTAAGGTCTTGAAAATTCTGGATGCGCCAAGATTTCAGGTTTCTGGCAGTTGATGCTGAGCCTAAGGTAACATAAAAAGGAACCCAACAAAGGATTCTGCATAGTGGCTTGCATCTTCCAATCTCATTCCTGCTGCTGGTTGGGAAGCCACAATGTCCTCAGCAGCAATAAGCTCCTCCACAGTAATAAGCTTTGGGGCCTGGGCTAAGAACAGAAGCTTCTCTCTCAAGTACTCAATCCAACAAAGTATTTGAGCACATGCATAACATTTAAGGGTAGAATATTAAATACTTTGCTGAATCATCATCTAAAATGGTGTAATTTAATAACAAGCAAACTAAGTCAGAGTGCTCAGAAACACTTCTTCTGTGAAACCCTACTTTGAGACCTAGCTATAAAAAACCCCAAGCCTTACAAACAGCTGAAAAATAGCTACAAGTTGTTACCAGAGGGGGTTATTTCTTTTTTGAGTGTTTGATGCCTTCTCATTCCTTTGATGTTCTCACAAACACTGAATTTTACAGGGCAATACAAATAAATGTAGATAGAACTCCTTTAAATAAATACACAGACTAATATTAAGTAGCTTTTTAAATGCTGTCCCATCAAATTGACTTTAGAAGAGAAGAGCATATATATTCCTGTGTGAAATGCTGCCTGAGGATGCTTTCAGAAGAAAGGATCAGAGGAGTCTGCATGTTGCTCAAGGCAAAATACGTCACATATAAAAGACCATGGAAGACAGGAAGTAATTCAAGAATTAGAAACACCTTTTGACCAAGAAAAACTGAAGGGCACATAGGATCTCATGGACAGAAAAAGGATACAGGTGATTTTCAGTGAAACTGTTCTGGTCCCTAGGGAAGGACAAACTGGCTTCGAGCTACCACAGACCAACAGGCAACTCTCAGCTGCTTCTGCAAGGAACCTTCCGAGATGTCCAGGAAGGAAAGAGGACTCCAGCTGGCAGGCTCTGCACAACAGCCCATCTCTCATCCATCTGAAATCAAAGCAGGCAGAATGGAAAAGAAGGGCATTAATCTATAAATTATGTGGGTGATTTTTTTTTATTCTTTTTAAAGGAAGAAGAGACTCTTGTAATGCAAGAATATACAGAACATGAACACCAAAGGATAAGGGAAAAGAGAGAGAAAGCATTAATAGAGATCAAAGTAAAAGGGGGATGGACAATAAGATTACTCTGGGGTATAGACTTGATTTAGTTAATGCATTGGGCAAGGCTGGAGAAATATATAATTTTTGTAAAGCAACACAATACACTGCAGGAACAGAACAGAGGAACTAGAAACAATGGAGAAAGAGATAACAGGGAGATAATGGCTATCATGGGGGGTGTGCAAGGACAGGAGGAAAGAGCAGAAATAGAGGTGGTGGTGAGCTGTAACATTTCAGAATCACAGAATCATTAAGGTTGGAAAAGATCTCCAAGGTCACCGAGTCCCCCCTGTGCCCGATGCCCACCTTGTCCCCCAGCCCAGAGCACTGAGTGCCACGGCCAGGCCTTCCTGGGACACCTCCAGGGATGGGGAGTCCACCTCTGCCCTGGGCAGCTGTGCCAAAGCTTTACAACCCTTGCTGTGAAAACTCTTTTTTCCTCCTGGCCAACCTGAGCCTCCCCTGGCACAGCTGGAGGCCGTTCCCTCTCCTCCTGTCCCTTGTTCCCTGGCAGCAGAGCCCGACCCCCCCCGGCTCCCCTCTCCTGTCAGGGACTTGCAGAGCCAGAAGGTCCCCCCTGAGCCTCCTTTTCTCCAGGCTGAGCCCCCCCAGCTCCCTCAGCTGTTCCTCATGGGACTTGAGCTTCCAGACCCTTCCCCAGCTCTGTTCCCTCCTCTGGCCCTTCTCTCTCTTTAGGGCTATTACTGGGTAAACTGTGAAGTAATAAATATGAAAACAGACAGAACAAAGCAGGCTGGAGAGAGGCCCTCTCCTAGGAGAGACCACTCTTAATCTGAGGGGGTACAAGCAGAGGTCACTGCTGTTACTCAGGAGACACATTCCCAAACAGCCAGAGCCCGGTGCCCTGATGCTGTGTTGCTCCTGGTGCCTGTTGTTTTCCCAAGTGGGTAATACAGTATACTGCAGACATACTGCTCAGGGAAAGGAGTAGCTATTGCTCTTGTAAGGTCTGACTGCAAACCAGCAGTGGGCTCTTGCATTGCTATACAAGGCAGTACCTTTCCTGGTTTATGCTCAGAAATCAGTCCATGACAACAGTAGGGTCTGGTCATTTCCTGGGTTAGTGGTAGGGCCTCACAGGTTTTGACATAACAAAATATATATTTCACAATGTACGTACACACCAAAACACTACACACAATACATACACACAGTGTATGTTAAGCCAATAATAATGAATACTATCATTTACGTTTTCAGTTACTCATCACCCAACATTATTCTTATTAGAATAGCCAATAAGATCAAGAGTTGGTTCTGCTTCCAAATTAAAGAATATAAAAAACTAGACTGTAAACAAACATTTTCAATTAAAAAATAGAACAACAACAACAACAAACCCTCCACAACAAAAACCCTGAAAAATTAAGAGCACTAGTATCTGAAATGAACAGAAGAGCCTTGGGACATAAATGAACTCAGAAACTCAAAATCATCTAAAACTTTTTCTGAAGAAAAGGAAAGAACTTCTTCAGAATGCTTCCAGCCCTAACGGGGTGATAATCACCCCTAAAGAGATATTAGCTACACACTAGTAGGAAAATAAGAAGCACAAGAAAGGTACATTTTAGAGATAAAAAGTGTAAGAATAATTTGAGAATGGCCCCAAATCAAATGTTTTCTACATAGTAAAAAGTGTCTTCACTTCTATAAATAGAACATAAAAAGAAGAGAAATGTTAAGATTCTGTAAGAATGGATTTAAGATTATTTGTAAGGAATTTATTTTAGAATGAATACTTTTCTTCGGCTTTCAGTAAGGGAAAAAGTGAAGAGTCTAAGGCAAAAACCACACAGTCTAATGGGAATAAAGTACTGAAATGGAGGCTGCCACTGTCAAAAAACCCACACAGATCAAAGGATTTAATGTGTTTACACTGTGAGGACCAGAGTCTCCATTCCAGAATACATGAAAGCATCGAGAGATGAAGTGCAAGTGAAATAGGAGAGGCCTCTATCAAATGGAGGTGAGGCACTGCCTGACCAAAAAGGAGCTGAAATCATACTTATACTTCAGAGAGAGGGCAAAAGGTGAGCCAAATAACAGCAGATCCGTTAGTTTTACCTCAATGACACTCAAGGCTCTTGAACACGTTCTGTAGGGAAGCGTAATGGAAAGCAGGGATGCAAACGGAGCGGGAGATGTGGCTGTACCAGCTGCCCCAGCCTGCCGTGTGTGGCAGTTCTGCTTTGCTTCTCTGGCACAGGAAATGGGACAAGCCCACTCACTGGGGCTTCTGTGAGGTAATACCTAAACCCAGGAACATGGAGATTAGGTCAAACATGTAAGGAACTGGCCAAGAGAAGAGAGGGAGGAAGGGAGAGTAATATAAAATGCGAAGTCAGGCATTTGTTGACTAATTACAGAAACTTGTGTGAAATGCTAGGAGTGTGGCACCTGGGAATGACAAGAAAACAGAGCACAGTGTTGAGACCTTCTCTAGAACAGCTGCAAAGCTGCTCCCCAGATCTCAGTCAGGACTGGACCCAGAGAAGGCAGGAGGGTGATTAGAGCCTGTCCCCTAAGAAGAGATGAAAAAAAGACTAGAAGTATTTCTTGTTTAGCCCAGCAAAATGCCAGCTGCAAACAAATACATCTGTGTTCAATGCACACAGTGGGAAGGTGAAAGAAGTCCAAAGCATAGTGCTGGCAAAGGATAAATGGGTAAACTGGCATGAGACAAGGCTTGCAAGGACAGGTGAACCCCTCCAGCCCTGTGTTTTCTGTTCATAAGCATTTCACAGCAATAATTTGATCATAAATGCCTCTCACGCTGTTGAGTACACTGAAATTTGTCTTGCACTGAAGACACTGTGTGTCAGTTTGGTAACCAGAACATATATTACACTCTAATAATATGTTTCTACTTACTTAGGGGGGGAGGATGTGCGTCTTTTATCTCTGTATAATCAGAGGGAGCAAAAAATCCCTCTCAGCAGACAAACTCAATAACAGGCATAAGAACAAAGGATAATTCAGCTCAGAAAGGACTTCAAGGTTTCAAGTCCACCCTCCTGCTCAAGGCAGGGTCAGCTGCATGAGGTTCAATGCTGGCGCTCACGGCTTCACCCTCCCTGGACTTGAAAAGCTCCAAGAGTGGAGTACCTCCCTTATCAACCTGTTCCACTGATTAAAGATTTGATAGGAATAAGCTATTTCCCCACATCCAGGTGGAAAAAAACCAACCCCATCCCACGTCCTCCAAAACACAACCAAACAATGAAAGTGAAGTTAGCAGAAAAAGATTATAGGTAATAACGTAACAGTTGCCTTAGCTCAGACTTCTCTCTTTTATGAAGTACTCAGTTAAATACAGAATAGTCCTAAACCCTCTGAGAAGAGTTCAGGTAAAGCATAATGTTTAATTCTAGCCACCACTTTCAAATCTAAGTGTGAACAGAGCTGGAAAGAGCAGCCATCTAAATTGTCTCTTCAGATCCTTTCTTAACCCTGTGATTCAACCACTGAGCGCACAAAGCACAAAACAAGCAGCTCTGGAGTGTTTGCCACAGTTTGCCTCCTTGTTTGTACTGTGGTAAGGAACAGACACCATGTGCCTCAGGAGACAGTGAGAAATGATTTGTTACACTGAGTAGAGCTCCTCACTTTGTTAGATCCTGGACACCTGTTTGGGAATCGTCAAACATCAACTCTGTCCTTTAATTGCCCCGCACACCCTCTGTCCCACTTTCCTTCCAGAAACCTCAAGGACAGTCCCCATTTCAAGATGCTCAAATATCTGAAGGCAATAGAGAATGAGATATGGGTTGTGGGAAGGAGAGCAGGAGCAGGATGTAAGTTAATCCAATTCACTGTAGGCAGCGTGACAGAAATGGGTCTTTAAGATGGACATCAGTGTGCACAGTCCTTGGAGGAAAGTTCCAGGAGGTTATACCACACTTGAGAGCCAGCAGAGAGGTGCAGCAAATGAACTGACATTACCTTCCCCTTGTGGGTTTTCTGTAGAACAAATTTAATCTGACCCAGTACAGGAATACTTTAACTAAACTACAGATTTATGCAAAGGGAGAAAAGCAGAGATATTTTTATCTTAGCTTGGAAACGTATACTGAAAACAAAACCATCTAGTGCCTGCTCTGTATGGACTGCAAAGCTCAACACAGCCAGCGATCAGTGTGGGTGCATGTCAGTGTTCACAAGCTCATTTAAATGTTCATAAGTGAGTTAACAGGCCTATATCTCCAAAAGGAAAAATACCCTACCAGTATCAACTAAATATTTGTTGATAATTTAAATATCTTTCTTGATTTTCATTAACTAATCACTGATAAAAAGTTGTAAAACATCTTTGCAATCTTTCCAAATATAAATCTTTTAAAAGATACTACAGATCTGTTGAATTTCTCAGATACCTATAATTTTGGCAGATTGATGTAATGAAGAAATACGAATTTCATAGAAAATTCTTTTTTCCTTTACAGGAACAAACATCCTAAACTATTTCACAGTGTTTGAAGTGTGTCCTGAAAAACAACAGAATCACTTCATTTCCATGAAAGAATGCAGGCCCAACCCCATTTGAAGGCAATCATTTCTGTTTGTGGCATGTATCTTAAGCAAACATACCATTATGGCCAGAAATACTTCAAGACAATTAAATTAAGTTTAACCTATGAACACTGCTGTTCATTCTTCTTGCATTAGTATAGTAATCCCACAGAAACAGGTCAACATATTTTAGCTTTAATGGAGCACCCCATAGATATTCATTGACCCTAAAAACATTTATCTGGTGACTACTTTAGTTAATTGTATTACTTTATTTTCCTGTTCATCCCATTG